AATATATATATATTCTCCAGTGTTATAGATGAACTAATATAAAGCAATATCAAATTACAGGATTTGAGAAGTTCTGTACTGAAAATATGCAACTTCCTAGGAAGAGAACTAACTGAAAAGCAAGTGGATGATGTGGTGGATAAAGCGACATTTGATAACATGAAGGTGGATTCTAGAGCAAACTACACATTAATGCCTCCTGATATTCTAGATTTCAGCAAAGGAAACTTTCTTCGCAAAGGTAGATTAGTAATAATTCACACTCTGGGGCTTTTGGAATGTGCCAGGCTTCATCTGAAAACAAGATTGTCACCTTCACTTCAAAGGTGCTTTCTAAAGTGGTATGGATATGTCCCAACAGCCTCTCTTTCTGCTGTCTCTCCATGATGTTGTGTTTCAGCAGCCTACATTTGAGGCAGCCATAAGCTTTTCTTACTTGTGCCAATGTTGGTGTTCTCCTGTTCACCCAAGCAAATTTCTGGTGTAGATATAATCTGACCTGTTTCAATGATCATTCTGTTGGTTGCACAATCTAATGATTCTTCAGGAATAGCATGGCATAGTTTTACCTCATACTGACCACTTTAAGATGGTGGAGACACAACCTCTTCACTCTCTACCTTTGGTACTCTCCCCCACCAGGAGTGTGGTGGGTCACATGGTTAGGACATTGGGTTGAAAGTTAGCAAGCCCATGTTTGAAATCCAAGTGCTGCTGCATGGTGGGGTAAGCTCCTGTCATTCACTCTAGCACCTTGTTGGGAACTTGAAAGGAGCACCTCTCCCGGGGCATCTCCCTGGAAACAGTGATGTCACTGACTAATCTTTTCAACCTGGAAAGGATAATCTACTTATCAACCTGAAAACAAAAAACCCTAACTTTGCAATCACTGAGTTGACCATCAACTCCACTAAATACCAAAGTATTCCAGAGTCACATGTGAAGCCAGCGGTCTGACAGTTAAAGATTGGCCATCATTGGGTCATGCAACAGGACAATGACCCTAAGCACACCAGCAAAAATACCACAGAATGGCTGAAAAGGAAAAAAATTAAGGTATTGTAATGGCCCAGTCAAAGTCCTATCCTCAACCTGATTGAAATGCTACAGTGAAACCTCAAGTCAAACAAGTAAATAAAAATGCTCACAAACTTCATTTAACGGAAGCCATGTTGTAAAGAATAGTGGGCCAAAATTCTTCCAAAATTATGGAATCTTAGGTTTTACATACACAGCTTCTCCATTTTGGTTTCCTTTTTTAAAAACAAATCATGACATGGTATAATGTCATGATGTTCATCTGAGGTTGTATTTACTTACTTTTAAGAACTGCTAAGGAGCAGATTTTTTTATGTTCTCAGACAAAAAACCATGGAACAGAAGCAGGGTATATGTCCTGTTTACATGACTGTATATA